TGCTACACTTTTTTTAAATTCTTTTCATTGTCTTGAATCAACTATTCTTAAGGCAAGCTTTCGTTGTTAAGATAACTATCTTTAGCATTTATTTAAATACAGAATTTTGCCCTGTTTATAAAGTATTATGCTTTAAAAATTGCTTTAAATTTAACTTCACGCTTAAATTTATATATATATATACATAATTATATATATATATATATATATATATTTAAATGAAAGCCCGCCCTTAACTGCTGACCAACGCAGAGCTCTGCTGTTGTTTAATTGACTTTGCTAAGCTAAAAAGTTTTCATCTATTGTTTTAAAACATTAACTTAGTTTTGGCGTTAATTTTATTAATTTTAATGTGACGATGGGGATTACGACCAACGTTGGCAGAAAACTTTCGCAGTTTTGCATATGCGTGCAGTTAAAAACATGGTTAAATTTATTTCATTTGTTTAAAAGACGTCGAATATAATTGGATTTTGGCATAAAAAGTACTGAAAGTACTTTAAAATTGATATGCTGGTAAAAACTTTTCTATTTTCATGCACAAACGTACAACAGCAACAAACCAGCAACAGCTTGTGCATAGTATATGAAGTTTTTATGATAGAATCAATATGCATACGTATGGTTGAATGCTATGCAAATATTTGCACAAGCATCGACAAATAATTGAGTGAACTAAAGTTGGAAAAAGCTGTGCAAAAGTTTGTGGCAACAGTTTGTCAAGAGATATATATTGTCTACATATGTTCTCTATATGTATGCACGTATGTGGGCAGGCTTGATGAGAGGCGACAGTGCGTATGCGTAATGTGTAGAACTCATCTAAAAAATGATTGCATGCAGTTGTGTCTGGCTCATCAAGTCTGCGTGTTGAATTTAAGGCCTGGCATCAATTTACTGATGGTATTTTTTTTTTTTTCATGCCTTTTTTGCTTTTCTTGCTGAAGCACTTATTATAATGTTTGCCTTGTGGCCCAACAAATTGCGCGCTAATGTGTTTTTGTTGCCTCATCATTTGATTAGGGCGTCAAATTTAATGTTGATATTGAATTTAAAGCTGAGCCCGCGGCGTGGCTGCCAGCTCTTTGCTTTTACCTATAGATATATATATATATATTGCTTGTACCTTTTATTGATTTTTAAATGTGATTTTCGTTTTTTCTTCGAGCGTTTAGGCCAGGCTGAGAGCTGGCTCACATTTCTATTAGCAACAGCGCCATGTTTACGAACACACAGATTTGATTACAAAACTTGATTAAATTTCACTTTGAAAGAGATTTTTCTTAAAGCACATTTTGGCTAAGCGTGGGTTCTTTCTAGGCCCAAAAATCAAAGCGCAACAAAGCTTCTCTATGAAATACCTGGCATAACAATGAAGCGGATTTTGTTGTTGTTGTATCGTTGCCCGTTGCCCGTTGGCCACACAAAGGCAACGTAACACAAAGGTCTTATGTCTACGGCGGACATCAACAGCGGCTCAACACGAGCTGTTTTTGCCACTACTCAAAGGGTCGATGCGTTGGTTCAAAACCCAATTGAGTAACGTTCGCCAGCTTGTCTCATCAGGTTGTAGGTGGCTCTTCAAGGCGACAGGGCGTCGCTAGGGCCTGACCTGATGTATATGTGAGACACAACTTGCTTATTGCAGTTGGCGTTGTTGTTGGACCATTAAATGATGATGCTCGAGTGAGCTCGAAAGGATATAAAACAAAAGCGCGTGTCCTCCTTAAATTATCCAGCAGTGTTTCGGTTTTGCGTTAAGTGCTCGACGATGAAGCTGCACACGCGTTGATTGCCCAGAGCCATTCACATTGATTGTGGCCCATAAAAAGTTGAGAGCTTTTACAGTAAATTCGCCTCAGTGCGCACATAATTACAGCCAAAAGCTGAGATAAAAGTCAAACAGTGAAATTGTTTAATGGCCACTGCATGGAAATGCACTCCAAACTATCTACGGCTGCGAACAGTAAGTGAGGTCAGCTCGCAAGGAAAACACAGAAAATAATTAGAAAATGGAAAATTTACATATATTATAGCCAGAAGTCAGATACAGTCGCTGGCAATTATTTATAGAGAACAAAGACAGACAATATTATTCTATAGCAATGACAAATCAGCACTGAAAATCTACACAATTAATCTAATTAAATTAATTAAGCTAAAGTTTCGATATGTTAGATTGTCACAAAATGTGCAGCACATAAAGAAAAGCAACTATATATCTGATTAAACATACAAATATATATTACACTCAGCAATGTCATTAAATTCAAGGTACTCAGAAAAATAATTATTTTTTCTTGGTTATTTTATTTATTATTACTTATAAATTTGCGTTGCCAATTAGCTCTTTTAATCACATACACAAGAAAGTAGGATTTTAAAGAAGAAAGAAACAATTTTTAGAAGTCATAAAATGTCTCTGAAAAAGTTGCTAAAAGCTTACGTTTCAGATGTTTACATTTTAATAAATTCCAAAAATTCTATCAGACTCTTGTAATATTTAGCTCTCAATACTTTGTTATTTTAAATTAGAAGAAAACCCTCTTAAATCTAGACGTCATAATAAAAAGCTTAAAATAATAAATTAGTGTAATTTCCAGCAAAAGTCATTGCACGCCGTAATGCTTAAGCCGAGAGCTTTAACAGCTATCAATCAATATCATTTGCTCGCTTTAGCTTAAAACTGGCATTTAGTTTAATGTAATGTGATCAAACACTTGCAGCTAGTGTCATTGCACCATGTATAAATGTTTGTTGACATTTCTTTTGGGAAGTTGCGGGGCCGAACATCAAAGTCGCCTGGGTTCAATTGCTGTTGCTGAACTTTGGCATTGTTTTCTCCCCAGAGGGAAGGTGGAGCGGTTGCTGAAAAAGACGATCCTGCATGTGTTAGCTGTTGCTGCTGCCAGCAGCTGGTTGCCCTTTGATTGCCACAGCGAATGTTGCAAGCATTAGTTGCTGCCACCAAAATTTACAAGCAGCTGCAAATTATTCTTGTGCCGCGTTCAATGGCCGAGTGGAATGAACCCCGTCAGCGAATTTCCGTCTGGCAGTTCACAGGCTTTAACCACAGGTCAGAGTTGATTGTATGCAGTGGCACGTTGTGCGTTTGTGCCAAGTGGCTGTGGCATAACTGATTGGCCACCAGCGGGGCGAGCGTTAATATTGTGCCACGCACTGCAGTCATTGCCACTTGCTGCCCACGCGGGTGCCATTTATTCCGGCTTGGCTCAGTTTATCTGTGCGTGCATTAACCTTGACATGAATATGCACAAGACCCCAGAGCTCTCGGACTGTATTTGTGTCTAGTTCATAATGTGTTACGAACTAGCTGCAAACAAAACAAAGCTTCAGGTTGGCAATTTATGTGCTTTGTATTCAAATAGACATTTTTTTCCCTTTTTTTCGGCACAATGCCCCCCAACTGCGATGTCTTTAATTACTTAAGACCCGACCTAGACATACAATCAACTCGCAGTGCGTCGGACTTCGGAGGGGCAGTCAAGTGTTTGAGTAAAGTCTGCTTGAATGTTTTGCTGTTTGCCAGGCACTCGGAAAGTTGTGAATTATGGTCAAAGCTGAAGCAATTTACATGCTTGGGCATCTACAAGATACGAGATGCTCGCAATGCAACTAACATACACATATTGTGGCTTGCAGCTGGCTCAACTGCAAGTTTGCTATTCAGCGTTTGGGCCTTCAAGTTGTCAGCTGCAGCGCAATTGCCAGATAAACGTTTCCATTTTGTTGCTTATACGCCACGTTGCACGCTCAATGTTTATATTGCACTAGCAACAGATGTGCCAATAAATAAAATAATAACTATGCATCCGGCTTGGGAACAAGACTAAGTTGTAGAAAAACTTTAAACTGAAATACGTATAAATGACACAAGCCGATCGATGGGACAACACAACTGGTTAAGGCAAGTTGGTGGAAAAAAGTTGTGCTTGGACAACAACATTTTGCATCTTTAACGTGCTTTCACAGCTTACCAATTAAAAAGCATCAAACTTTTTGCATATTAACTAATTTATTGCTTTTCATTATAGTTAAAATTGCTTGCAATTTCATGAGCTTTCCAAGCAGATTAATCTTCTAAAGCTTCCAGAGCTTTTTTTCAAGTAAAAGACGATCTAGCACTAGCTTTGGATAGCATAATTGTTGTATGCACTTAAGCTGACAATAAATAATTTTATGAAAACTAAAAACAGCTACGCAATACTCATATACTGAAATTGCTGCTTAAATGTGCTTTAAAATACAAAATGTAGCTATTTAATCAAACTTTTGACTTGGAACAAACCTTTTCTTTATTCGTTCAGATATTAAGATTTCAGTGCAGGTACAAGTATTATTTTCACCTTTAAACTTTGTAAGATTTTCAAGATTATTGTGATTAATCGCTGGATGAATACAAATTTATTTCACAGCTAGCAGCAAGTGTCATTGGCAGTTTACTTGCAATTTACTGCTTCCACTGGTGTTGCTGCTGCTGTTGTTGTTGTTGCTGTCAAATGTGTACGCTGTCAAGCAGCTGCAACATGCAGCAGCACGCACACACATACACAAACACACAGAGAGAAAAGGAGAACCTACTGACATTTTAATATATACTTTCTTGGCACTCGCTGCACCCACTTCCTAATAGAAATGCCATGAAAAGTGTAAGTAGAAGCGAATACAGAATGCCATTTGAGGGTGTCGGAGCGGGAAATAGCTGCCATTGGCAACATCCTGTTCCGTTCAGCCACTTGGTCTGTCACCTTGTGCTCCGTATAATGTGATCAGTAAGCGCATCAATTGTCAAGTGCAGCATCAAGTAAATTGCCATTTTATTGATACTGCTGCTTATTCTGGGGGATTTTTACAATGCCTTAATTTATTTACCACAAAAAGCCAAATGCGCTTTGCATTCTGTAAGAGGCTTTTGTGCGCGACAGCCAATCGAATCACATTTTAAATATAAATTACCATTCTTTTCTCTATCTTTGCAGAGTGCGTGTGGAGTACTATGTGAATGAAAATACATTCAAAGAAAGACTGCAACTCTATTTCATTAAGAATCAGCGTTCAAGTGAGTATTCAAATTACAATTTAGTTGCTTAAACGAAGCTTTCAAATTACTTGACATAGTCAAATATACAGTGATACCTCCCCTCATGGACTGCTTTAAGCTTTAAGTATTGAAGAGCTTAGGTTTAACTCCGCTACCTTAGGGACATTTATAAAATATAAAATATTTTACTTTATAGAAAATATCGTAGGACTAGCCTCTAATTTCGGGCATATCTGTGAGTTCACTTTATAGAAGTACAACTGTATCTCTTTTAAGCCAAACAACAAATGTCTAACTGAATTGTACTGCGGTTAAGCAAACCAGACAGAGCTTTGAATTCCCGAATGTAAATAAACTTATGGCAAAACGATTAAAGTTTTCGTAGGCCGCACAAACAATTGAATCAATTGGAAAAACACGTGTAAGAACAGGCAGTGCAGCAGCAGCAACAACAACAACGAAAACAGGACAGACATTGCCTAAGAAGAAGAAGCGGACTCAATATACTTGAGTAAATATTGATTTGGATAGGAAATAATTGTACAGGTAAACAATTCGAACAGGTAAATAGGTAGATTGGTAAACAGTCAAATGAGGGTGAGTTGTTTTTTTTTTTTGTTTTCGCCCAATAAGTCAGTCAGTTAGTTAGTCAGCCGCTGACCGGAAAACCGGACAGGTTAGATAGTTAGGTAAAAGGTAAACTAACGAACTCATATAATTTAGTTGTCTGACCCAAATTTCGTTTTGTGTTTGTGCTACTTTCTCTCTTTCAAGGCTTACGCATACGAATTGCCGATTTATTCCTTAAGTTACTGTCGTGTGTTCTCTACATAATACGTGTGATATTGGATAAAAATCCAACATTTATAACATGGTAAGCTAAAAGCCAACAGCAAATAACTTCAAATTGCAATAGCTCACAAAATTTATTGCGACCCTCCCCCCCACACACACACACCCGTTCTCCATATATCTCTATCTGCGTGTGCTTACTTTAGCTATGGCTGCGAAGTGGCCAATAAGACAGAGTTTATCATCTCTGCCAAGCTGACGGAGGAGGAGTTCCAGGAGAATCCAATTATTAACTGGGATGCAATACTCTGGGTGAATCGTCCCACAGTGCTCTGGGTGCTACAATTACTTCTGGCCATGGTGTCGTTAACTCAATCTTTGGTTCTTACATATCTAGGCTATAAGGTGAGTCGCCCACACAAATATATTAATTCTTGTCGAATATACATTTTAATGTACGTAATTTAATTTAAAAAAAAAAAGCTTAAGAAGAAATGTAGACACATATTTATGTGGAAAATATGAAATTATTAAGTAAAATTTTTAATTTTTAGGTAAACATTTATATTATTTGTATAGCACTATAGCACTTTTATATTTTATATTATATAGCATTAAAATAATTCATTTTAAAAAATAAAAAAATGATTAGGACATAAAATAAGGAAATTTAAGCTTTAAAATTGGTTTGATATTAAAAATCAGTTTAGAAAGATTTAGAAATATTTTACATTAAACAACAATTGATTGATAAATGCTCAAATTTAATTTTTCATTTAATCGTTTAATATTGTTAACAGGGCAACATATGGCAGCAAATACTCTCATTTCACTTTATACTAGAATTAGTAACGACAATACCCTTTGCACTAACGGTAAGTACACTTTAACACTAAACAATATTTATATATTTCTATTTATGATTATTATTGTTGTTTTTTTTTTTTTTTACTGGTAGATTGTGCATCCGCCGCTACGCAATCTTTTCATACCAATTTTTCTAAATTGCTGGCTGGCCAAGCGCTCGCTGGAGAACATGTTTGTAAGTGTCTCTCTGTGTGTCTGTATGTGTGTTATTATTATTATTAATTTAAACATAATTTTCAATTTGAATGCTGCAACATTTCTGTAGAACGATTTGCATCGCGCTATGCAAAAATCACAATCGGCTTTGTCGCAGCAGTTGACCATTTTGTCGGCCACATTGCTGTGCTTGGTCTTCACCAGGTAACTATAAGCAAGAACCACAGTCTTCCTCCTGCTATTACTCTCCCTCTCTCACTGTCCCACTCTAACTATTTGCGTCTCTTTCTCTTTTAGTGTTTGCGGTATACAGCACTTTCAGCGCGCCGGGCATCGCCATTTGAATCTATTCCAGAGCACCTACTATGTGGTTGTGACCTTCTCCACGGTTGGCTACGGTGATTTTGTGCCGGACATTTGGCCATCACAGCTGTATATGGTCATCATGATTTGTGTGGCGCTGATTGTGCTGCCCACGCAGGTGAGTAAATGCATTTAATGCCCGACTGCGTCCGGCTACTTTGCAGAACACACTATTCGCTTGACTCTGAGGAACCTTTTCGAAATGCGGCTTATCTGTGCTAAGGCCACAGTCAGCCTGCTTCAGAGAGCTGCAAATATTTGTATTCAGCTTGTATATATACAGACACGCACACACACACACACATTTTTAAGCTGCTTAGCCGCCCCAGTTTGCCACTGTGCAGTCCATCAATCAAATTGGCTATTAACAGATGAGTCGACATCGACTACTGGTCATCAATCTGTCTAAATATATATGAGTCATATGCCCACTCGACGCGACTTGCACTTGTTTGCCTCTGGGTCCAAACAATTAACGAGCAATTGTTAGTAGCATCGAAAAGTTCTATGGCCCGATATGAATGACTGACTGGCTGACTATTGTCCAAACAAGAGCATCAATCAAAATGTTTTTTTTTTTTCTGCGCGACTTTTCATAGCATACTTTTTGGAGACCGGCTGCAGTCGCTGCTGTCAAACAAGCGCGAGCTGCATGTCAATGTGCGCGACGCGTTCCAACAATTTATGACCAGCCATAACAATAACAACAGCAACAGCAGCAACATTGTGACCAAAATTTTGGCGTGTGTGTCCGTGTGTGTGTGCGTGTGGCCGTGTGTGTATTGGGTGTTTGCCTGCGCCTGAGCTTGAGCAAAGCACTTACAATTTATTGAAAATATTAGTGCTGCAGTACGGACTGCAATCGAGTTAAAAACAAAATGCTGTCGCTGTCAATATATATTGTCAGCAATCTATCAATCTACATCTAAATATACTATAAAGCGCAGCGGGCTCTGAAATTCAATCAGGGCGCATGCCTAAAAATGATACCTATAATAATATTTGTATAACCTGATGGATTTTGGCGATTACTTAAAGCGCCTTTTTATTTAAATGCTGTTATCAAACATTTTTAAATTGATTGAAATCGTTTGAAAGAAAAGTTTGTGCAGAAATTCAGGCTTCCCACTGTCGCTCGCAATATACAATTTGTCAAAATCTGCAGGTAATCTTTATACAAAAAATATAAATATGTATATGGAGAGTCTTTGGGGCCTAAAATATAACATGTAGCTTGAAACTATGTTTGAAAAAAAATTTAAAATAATAATCAGATCAAAAAAGAGTATACTAGATTTATGGATTCTCAAAAACGATTGTAGATATAAGTTTTTTCGAACTCTGAAAGGCGAGCTGATCATAAGCTCATAGTAAATGTACAAGTAGATAATCAAACTCTAGAGTCGTCAGCTTTATTCAGACGGACAGACAGCTCAGTAAAGTACGATATCTTATTTGCAAAGAAAAAAAAAAAGTATATAATTTTTAAATATGTATTTCTTATACCTTTCGCTTTCAAATGCAGTTTGAGCAGCTGGCTTTCACTTGGATGGAGCGCCAGAAATTGGGCGGCAGCTATTCGTCGCATCGTGCTCAGAGCGAGAAGCATGTAGTCGTATGCTCGACTACGCTGCACGCGGATACTATAATGGACTTTCTGAACGAGTTCTATGCGCATCCCCTGCTGCAGGACTTCTATGTGGTGCTGCTCAGTCCCATGGAGCTGGACACAACGATGCGAATGATATTGCAAGTGCCCATTTGGGCGCAGCGCGTCATCTACATACAGGTTGGTTAAATATTTGACAACTTGTGATTCGATTTGAATTGCATTTGACATTTTGCCGTTTGTCGTTTTCTGTTTGGCATTTGGCATTTGACAGGGCTCCTGTCTGAAGGATGGCGATTTGGCGCGAGCGCGCATGAACGAGGCGGAGGCGTGTTTCATATTGGCAGCTCGCAACTATGCGGATAAAACGGCTGCCGACGAGCATACCATACTACGCTCCTGGGCCGTCAAGGACTTTGCGCCGAATGTGCCGCAATATGTGCAGATATTCAGGTGAGTTGTGTGTGCGTGTGTGTGCGTGTGTGGGGCGCCACTTTGTCACGCCTCAGTTAATTTGATTTCTTTCACTGTTTGCGCGCTGTGCGTGCCACACAACCAATGCCACCAATATATATACATATATATAAATATACAATCTATTTTTTAAAACATATATATGTGTTCATTCGCTGCATATCCTGCGGAAATTCGCTGTGGCCAGACCGGAGCACAAGCTGCATGTGAAGTTCGCCGAGCACGTGGTCTGCGAGGATGAGTTCAAGTACGCGCTGCTGGCCAACAATTGCACCTGCCCAGGCGCCAGCACGCTGGTCACCCTGCTGCTGCACACATCACGCGGACAGTACGTATTTCAGCCGTCATATCATTTATATATAACCTGTGTAATGCCCGGTCAACTGTTAATGGCCAGCAAACTAGAAAAAACATTCACTTTCCATGCGTCAGCAACTTTGCCGCCACGAGGCGTCACAGTTCAGCGCCTCGAATGTGTCACCTGGCAATACGCATCAAATTTATGATGTCCCTACAGTGGGTATTAAGGCTAACAAATGACTAAATTACCTAAACAACAGGATGCGGTACAACCAAGCTTTATAAATGACAATTTCCATTGCCGATTCAAGTCAACTTGTTGAGCTTTCACTCATAAGCATTTAGAACGCATGGAGTATTACAATCTACAACACTTTATCGCATACATAGTAAAGTAAAGCTTTAATGTGCTTAAGTTTCAGAACCAAGGCTGTAACCTAGCTTAAAGCTTTAATGTGCTTTAAGCTTATGCATAGCTTAACACCTTTAGGCTGTAATAGGTGAGAGGAAGGGATGTATGAAATCCTGGCAACGTAATTATACTTAAAATATATAGACTTAACTTAAAGCTCCCATTAGTAAATTTTACCAATTCTTTTGTTTTGTAGTATTTATTAGCAATGAGCTTTTACATGAAGACTAAATAATAATCGTTTAATGTCTTGAGAGCTTAAGAGAGCCTTATTGGTTATAAGAAAAATGCACTCAACCATGCTTTAAAAGCTTAACATTGAAATCTTAAATTAGTATTTAATCAAGCTGAGTATTTTTGGCCCTTTATTAGATTCATTTAAAATTCTAGAAGAATTTAATTTTTTTAAGAGCATCAAAGCTCCAACGTTCATTCATTTATTTTTAACGTGTGGATACGAAATGGCACAAGGACGCATTTGTAAAAAGGAAATAAGCGAACGTCGCGTCAATTTGAAGTGCGAGTTTTAATTAAATTTAATGCGCAATTGTTTCTGACAGCAAACTGTGTTTTATGCAAATTTTTCCGGTCGTCAAGTGCGTAAATTAAAAATAAAAATAAAAAGTAAATAAATGAGTGAAATGCTCGAACGTTGTCTGCGGCTTCAATTTGAGACCACGAGCAACACGCAAGCCAGATTAATCATACGCCGCGTAAAACTTGACGCATTTGTTAAGTAAAGAATTCTAATTAGGGTTTTAATACACAGCGTGGGTGGTGGGTGGTGGGCGGTGGGTTGTGAAAGCGTAGTTGTTGCTTGACGAAGCTGTGAATTTCTTGAGGTCAGACAAGAATCTCAACAATTGAAACTCGAAACTTAATTCACCTTTTTGGCATGAAGATGTTTAATTTGTTTTATTTTATTATTATAATTTTTTTTGCTCTTCACAGGGAAGGCCAACAGTCGCCGGAGGAATGGCATCGTCTCTATGGCAAATGCTCGGGCAATGAAATTTATCATATTGTTCTCGGCGATAGTCGCTTCTTTGGAGAGTACGAGGGCAAAAGTTTTACCTATGCCAGCTTTCATTCGCATCGCAAGTAAGTGGAGATACTTCAAAATGCTTTTTAGTTAACAAAACTGCTTTGAATGAATAGCTTGACGTTTGAATGTTGAGATGCTGGGATGGGGGGTTGGAGGTTTTGGGTGGGTTGGGACCCGGTAGCTATGCTGGATGGATGGATGGATGGGCATAAATAAATGCCAACTTGCACGCCTCTCGTCGCATATTTATTTAGACGCCTCGGCCATTCAAAATCAAATTTATGTAAAATGCCAAAATTGCTTTACATTTTCATATATATTTTCATATTTATTTATTTGCACGCACCAAAAATAATATTAATAATAATAAAAAGGTACGGTGTTGCTTTGGTGGGCGTGCGTCCGGCCGAGCTGCCGGAATTCTATGAGGATACCATACTGCTAAATCCAGGACCCAGGCACATTATGAAAAAGGATGACACGTGCTATTATATGAGCATCACCAAGGAGGAGAATTCGGCATTTGTCGTTAATCAAAATCAAACTACGGACACAACAACGGCAGCCAGCAAAGACGGTGGTGCCGCCAGCGGTGGTGCTGGCACCACCCATTCGCATACAGCAACTGGTGGGTACAATACTGCGCATGAATTGCATATGTGTGCGAGTGTGTGCGCGCGTGTGTGTGTGAGTGTCTGAGTGTGTGTTGGTTGTCATCAAAAGAAATTTGAAACTACAAAAACGAAACACACGTTTGAATGACTTTGAATGAAGCAACAAAATGTATATGAAAAATATATACATATAAATTTATTTATTTGTTAATTTTTTTTTTTTTTATTTTTTATTTAGCAACAAGTTTTTTGCTCTTGATTTTCGAGGCTGCCATTCGTTGCGTTCGTATTCGGCTCTTGAAAAGTTAATAATTTACTTGTCTGTCCTCTAATTTCTCTAATTTAATTTCTTTTTGTTGCGGTTGTCAATTTGTCTGAATTAAAAAATAAATATAAAAGTAAAATATAAGCTAAAACAAAACGCTTTTAATGTGTGTGCGCGTGCCCGTCTCTAATTAATAACATTTATTTTGTCTTGAAAGTTGACGATTTTATTTGTTCATCAATTAATTATCTTGTGCTGAAACTCGTTTCAAAGCTAACACAACAAAAATAGACTAAAATAATGAAATAAAAACAAAACTTCACTGCTTTGTTATGTTTGTACAATTTTTCTGGCTCTCTATGAACTTCTCTAACTTCTTTATTTATTTACAACTTTTCTACTATAATTGCCTTTTGAGCTCTACTCAAATTCTGTTTTCTCTATCGTTTCGGGTATAGAAAATTATTAATATACTTACATACATTACATAGAATATCTTAGCTAGATATCAAAAATCGAATTATTTGAAATTTAAATCAGTTTCCAAAAAACATTTTCATGCCAAAAAAGTATTTGTTTTATTTTTTTAAAATAAAGTAGAGTAAAAAGTAAAGCTTATTTTTAAATTCTAAAGTTAAACTAAATAAATAAAACGTTTATATAAATTTAAATTGATTTATCCCAAGTTAACTATATAACAAAATGACGATATGATTTAAATTAAATTTTCAATATTTCTACAATTTTTAAAAATTGTGTACATTTGACCAAATTAATTATTAAAAAATTGCTTTGATTTAAGCAAACTATTCCTTAAATGTCAAATTAAAATAAACGAAAGCAAAAAAAAAAGTAATATAGATTGGAAATGGTTTAAAGAACACTTGAATTTGTTTTTGATTTTGGTTTTATATAAAATATTTAAGATATTCAAAAAAAAAAGGAAAAACAAAAACCGAATTATAGCAACTGGGTTAAAGGTTACTACAACTACGGAAACTTATATGCATAGATGCAGATCTCCGAAGTCTAAATAGTCTAGACAAAATCGAGAACTAGAACTAAGCATATCATCAAATCAGACTTAAGAAATTTCTTGGCAATTTTGACAACTTTTGCTGAGTACTAAAACTACTAAAAACCCACACTCACACATGCACGCACACTACACACACATATACACACAACATTCCATATATAATAATATACATATATAATATCATATCGTATAATGTATGTGTAGCCAATACAACAACATCAACAACAATACAATCAACAACTAAAACAACAACAACAACAAAAACTACAACAATTAGCACGACTTTCACATCATCAACATTATTATCAGCATCAGCATCAACAACAACAACAGCAACCGCTTTGAATCAAGCGGCCATTGCACCAGTGCCGTCTGTTTGTGTTCGTGTGCCCCACAGTCCCACATACGACTCTGGCGCCGGCACGCCCATAATCGAGCGGCAACACTTGCAACCGTATCCGTATCCGCCACCGTCACCGTCACCGTCACCGTTACCGCCACCGTATCCGTATCCGCAAATGCAACAACAAACATGTGACAGTGATTATACAACACTATTTGTGCGTGAGTGTGACTCCAAAAAAAAAAAAAAACTAAACCATCCTTCCAAAAAAAACTAAACCTCCTCTCAACCCCTAAAAAGTACTAAGGAATGAACCGAACAAACCCAACAAATTTTTAACATTAAAAACGATTTTTAAAATGAAGCAAAACCAAAAATCTAATCACCTTTTGCAACCTATGCAACTACCTTTAATAACATTTACATAACAATACTCTCACTCTCTCTCTCTGTCTCTCTTTCGCTGTCTCTTACACCTTATATTATTGCTCTCTCTCTCTCTTTCTTAATACCTATATATAACTGTGTTTTGTCTAGAATTTAAGTTTTGCCCACATTTGCCTAGCGCCTGTAAATGCCTTTAGCCCAAAAAGAAACTCGCCTACGTTAACCATTTCCGCTATTTTAAAGCCATTAGCGACAGGTCGCACAGCCCAACACACATACACTCACACACACACACACACACACACACACGCAAACACACACACATACATACACACACCTTTCCAATACAGATCCAGCCGAGCAATTTTTGTTACTTCCGCGTTGCTATTTTTGTCTTTTGCTTCATTTTGCTTTTTGCACTTGTTGTTCTTTTTGACGTATTTTATCGCATGTCTCATATTGCAACCCGTTCATGGTGTTTTATTTATTTATTTTTTTTTATTACTCTTTATTCTGTTGCACCTTTATTGATAGTTGATATTGTCTCGCCCGCCTAGTCCGCTGCTCCCCTGTCAATTGTAAATTATACGCAACGCGCACGCAACAATTTGTTGCCCACGTCGCGTATACGCAACGTTGTGCGCTGTGGCAGCAACTGTTGCGTGTCGCCTATGGCCAGCCCACTGTGTCTCAGAATACCCTGTGTTGTGGCAGAAATTAATGTAGTTGCTGTCGCCTTTCGTACTAATTAAAGCGTAACAAGCGTCAGCAAATGAGGCAGAGTCATTAGGCCAGCCAGCAACTTGTGTCTGGGCTTCTCTGTGAACAAACGTAATAAGGTTCCAACTACAAACGTTAACTGAAAGTCAATATTTTTGGCCAAAACTTGCAATGTTCAAGACTCGAATGACACTAGCTGAAATTGAAAGATCATAAGAGCCTATATCAATTAATTATTTAATGCCAAGATTAGTTAGGCTTTCCAGAAGCTTCGAAGTACATCTGTTAAAAACAACTAAAAGCAGCAAAATGAGAACATCTGAAAGCTAATTAATAATTAATTTATAACAATCATCGGTTCTTAAATAATCCCATTTCATATTTGCAAGGGGTTTCCAAGTGTTATTTCTTACTTTAATCGATTTTAAACTACATACAAGCTTTCAGCTTTTATTCTTGCTGGTTCTAAATGCATAAAAAAATCAATTTAAGCTGATTATACTGGGTGTTTATTAAAAGTCGTCATATTTGAGTAAACTTTTTGGCTACTATGAGTAGGGAAGGCAAAACTTTAATTGCTTATATCGACAAAGCTCACTTTACAGTGCTTTTTCATGTCAATGCATGCTAAAGCTAAAAGATAAAAATAGTCCAAAAGACAAAATGCAAAAATATAAATAAGTAAATTTTTTATGTTTCCCAATGTCTACAGATTAAAATATAGCTTTAAAATTGACAAAATGATGCATTGTTAGCTGCAAATTAATTTAATTTTTTATTTCTCTTATTAGCAATAGATTCACTTTTTTGTTAAACTTAATTTAAGTTCTGAAAAGATAAAAAGCTCATTAAAACTATGCTTAATATTTGCAATAGGCGTCTACTTAAGCTCTACTTAAGGTTAAAGCTCATTGAAATGGCTTTCAATGAAATATTCTCTGATTAATCCATTATTTGGCAGCCAATTTAGCCTAATGTCATTGGCTTAGTAAGTGAACGTCTGGCGTTCCTGTTAACCACTTGGCAATACGCAACTTTGACAGCTGCACACTTTTTGGTCTTGAATTGCAAGGACTTTTAATGAGTTGGACAGGTTTTCTTCTTTTGCACGTCGTTTTCTATCTCTCTCTCTCTCTTTTCTTCCTACTCTTTTTTTCGGTGTCTACTTGTGCGTCATTCTGCTTTTTATACTCGAGTTGTTTGTTGTTTGGCTAAACTATTAGTAAATTTTCGTGTAAAGCAAGCGAAACTTTGTTCAAGTAGCGTTAAATTTTGTGCTTAATTCCTTGCGTTAATGCACTGCGGTCAAATTGAGCGTACCGAAGCACTGAAAGAAATTTGTACAACTTTGTTGCATTTACTTTTCCAAACATCTTTAGCCAGCGACAACCCAACGGCTGTGATAATATCGGACTCGAGGCAAAATCTAAAGGACACAACCGTCAGCACAACCCAAATGCCGACGGCGGCAACAACAACAACCACAATAACAACAACAACGCTGCCGCTGACAATAGGCGGGTCAGCACCTGGCAGCAGTGGGGCAGGCGCTCAACCAGGCTCCAGCAGCAGCGGGGGCCTCGGCGTGGGCCTCAACATGGGCACCTCCCTGAGCATAACACCTGCCACACTGACCACCACGGGCAATCATCTGGACGTGCCCTATGCCAACAATCCCAATCTGCTCAGTCCCGATGTGCTCAATCAGCGTAGAGGTAAGCAAATAGCCAGAAGTTGTATTCCATTTTATTCGAACTAACCCTTAATCCGCAAACAGGCAGCCGCAGACCCTCCATATTGCCTGTGCCGGATATGTTTACCTCCTCCTCATTTAGCATAGCCGGCAACGATGATGGCGAGGAGGGCGACGAGAGCGACGATGAAATTGATGATGAAATGCCCTGGCGTTCGCCCTCTGAGAAGATTGCGTAAGTACATAATTTGTTATCTGACTTCGTTTATCATTATTTATTTATTTTTATTTTTTTTGATTAACCAATTGATAATTGAGGCACTTTTTCCCCCCTGTATTGATAGCAACAAATATGCATAACTGTATTGTGTACACACCCAGAAATATTCTAGAGAGCAATGAAAGCTCTTAAATTACACAGCCAACAACTAGATAAATATCTATCTGTATTCACTCTGATTGTACCTATAAGTGTGATGTATATAAGAACTTTACCTAAAGTCTAGTATCTGTATGTATATAGTTGGACTAAGCGGTATTTTCAGCATTCCAACTATGTTATCAAGTAAAGTGATGCCATATTGATTGTAAGATAATGAAATAACCAAAATGTAGCATCAAATTTTTATTGATCATTAAAACTCTCCATTTTGATTACTTATCGATAATATAAGCATAATAAACTATCGACTCGAAAGTGTCCTTTAATTATACAGATCATTTCATCACTGTCTCGACGTTTTTTTTTTGATAGTTTATGAAGAAGATGAAACATTTTATTTTAAAAGTGAAATTTTAAGTGATAGTTTTCCCGATAAAATGAATATTTGAACCATAAATCGAAACTTTATCGATGTACACACTATATAATTATCGACGTTTGAAACAAACGGGACATTTTTAAACATCAACTGACTATCGAACCTCTCTCGATAGTCAAATTGATAGCCTTGCAGTACAATCTTAAAACTACTTTCCATTAAACATAGTTAAGCCTTATTTCAAAATCTTATCTACCTTATAATTTAACAAGAATGCTGAAAATATCGCGTTGATCTATCCCCCTGTATATGTATGTTTATAATATATGTCGTATTAGCTGTAATGAGCCCCTATCCTCCACACAAGCCCCTTAGCTTAGCCTAGACCCCTTTTGCTCAAGTGAAACGCTAAAAAACTGACACTCCAAGAACTCTCGCAGTTGCTTGGGCGGGCACTTTCCACAATCGCGCACCTATTCGCTCATCAAGAGCTCCTCGGAGGACTCCTATCCACGGGGCAGCGTTGCTGGCGCCAACTGCGCCTATTGCAATGCCAATGCTGCGGCAGGGCCACCGTCAATTGAATGGTCTGCACCGCTGCGCCGGCGCGCCATGAAGAAGAGCTACAGCTGCGACAGCGAGTGCGCCCTGCCGCCCAGTCAGCGGCTGGGCCTGGGCCTGGGCCTGGGCGGTGGCGCGCTGGCGGTGCTCGCGGCTCGACGCCGTCAGCTGCAGCGCTGCTGCTGCAGTTGCTCGCACGACAGCAGCAGCAGCACCACCAACACCACCACAACGGCGGCTGCTGCGGCGCAGTTGGCGCTGAGCACACAAATGTGCAACGCTGGCGGTCAGCCGCCGCCACCGCCTCCGCTGCCGCCGCCCCTGCCGCCGGCCTTTACCTACACGTCAAGCAGCTCCGTTGAGACACGCCGTTTGGCGCGTCCGGTTTGGGCGTCCGACTATTCCGGGTAAGTTGCCGCACTTGAGGCGCCTCTGCGGGGCACACACAACCAGCTCGTGCTGCCATTTTGGAATGTTCCATTGTTGAAGAGTTGTTATCGTTGCTATTGCTGTTGCTGTTGCAGTTGCAGTTGTTGCTATTGTTGTTGTTGTTGTTGCTGCTGCTGCTGCTTATGCAATGTTTTGTTTGGCTGCAACAGTCGCTAGTTGCCTGCCGCGGGGCATTTTTTAATGACTTGCAACGTTTACCTTGGACGCGGCGCGTAACCACTTCAGATTTGCTGATGTTGCTCTACGACGCTTTTAGTCTTGTCTTACACATACCCTGCAAATCTAAGTTCACGACGAAGGGCATGACAAACGCTTTATAGAGATTTCCTTATAACAGTTTGCTTAAACACGCAGGTTTAAATTATTAATATTCAAATTAAAAAGTTTGAAAGTAAGAAAATGGCTTTCCCAGAATATTAAAGCAAATTTCTTAGGCAAACAATTCCATATAATTTGTATTATTTAAAGTAATTTTTAAATCTTGTTTACATAACTCAAAATAATACAAAAAACCAAAAAGTTCCTTAACAGATTCGGATTTTGTTTTTGTGGAAACAAAAAATGTTCCTTTGAAAGATTGAATTTTATTTTGTTTCATTAACTTAGCTTACAATGTAAAGACTTCGAGCGTTGCGTTAAACGAGGGTATACTGTATTATTTTATTTAGGCGATAACAAATTTTTGGTATAGAAATTTTAAAACATTATAAACAGCGCATTTTATGTCCATTTTAATTTACAGCTTATGCCATAGTCGACTATTTCGACTATTTTACCATCCCAACTTTGATTGTGCGCTTGTTGTTGTTGTTGTTGTTGTTGTTTCTGCTTTTGGCTGAGCATCCTTTTTGGTTTTGTTTGCTTTTGCCCTGAGTTGCATTTTGTCGTTTGCATTCATACAAAAAGTTGTCGCTTCAAGTTGTTGTTTATCCTCTTGTTGTTTTCGTTGCTGTTGTTGTTGTTGTTCATTTACAGTGTTGCCTCCACGACCACAAAACTCCCATGTTTTAGCTGTGTGCAATTAAGCACTGTGGTGGGCATCGAAGTGGGCGGGTCTCAGGTTCAATTTAACCAAGTTGAAGCCATTGGCAGCAGCTGTGCGTTAAGCCAGCTGAAAATGCTGTTCCACGTTAATTGCATGCTAAAAACCTAAGAGAAACTTTGTAAAAATCACATTTTCAAAAACAAGCGACAACCCTGTACCTACACTCCCTTGAGTTACAATTATCTAGAAAAAAAGACACATTTAAGAGTTAAACAACAAGTTTTTCGATGTTACCCAAAAATTAAAGCTTTCTGTGTATTAAATGCTCAGTCGCCTGTTCCTAATGCTCATATCCTGCACTTAACATTTGGCTAACCATACTTAACGCTTTTCCTTACCTGATTTTTTTGTTGCTTATCACGAAATTTATGAACATTCAATCATTTGAGCTCATTTTCACAATTGCAATGCTCAAATTTTGTGCATTCCAGCATTGTCAAGGGTTTTCCGCCAGTTTCGCCTTTTATTGGTGTCAGTCCGACGCTTTGCTACCTGCTCAAAGAGAAGAAGCCACTCTGCTGCCTCCAGCTGGCCCAGGTGAGTGACAGGCGTTGAAGGCCACAATCATTGACTGGATGCACTTTTTAATATTCTTGTGGACAGGTCTGTGAGCACTGCAGCTATCGCAATGCCAAGGAGTATCAGTGGCAGAACAAGACCATCATTCTGGCCGCGGACTATGCCTCGAATGGCATATATAACTTCATCATACCGCTGCGTGCTCATTTCCGTTCCAAGACCTCGCTGAATCCAATCATTTTGCTGTTGGAGCGTCGACCAGATGTCGCCTTTCTCGATGCACTCTCCTACTTCCCACTGGTTAGCCACAGGCGTGCTCTTCAATGCTCTCTACTTATGTTCATGTTATTCCAGGTGTATTGGATGCTCGGCTCCATTGACTGTCTGGATGATCTACTGCGAGCTGGCATTACGCTCGCCGAGAGTGTTGTTGTGGTCAACAAGGAGCTATCCAATTCAGCCGAGGAGGATTCACTCTCCGACTGCAACACAATTGTCGCTGTGCAAAATATGTTCAAGTAAGTGGGAAAGTATTCAAGAACTGAAATAAGCTCTCAACAAAGCTGCGTTTTGGAAGAGAAACCCTTTACCTAGGCATCTATGTAATAAGTTAGAGAAGTTCAAAGCACTGTCAGCCTTTATCTACCTTTACGAGCTTTAACCTTAAAGTTTGCAATCACTTAATAAATATCATGTAATTTAAAGCTTTCTGAGAGCTTAAAGCTCAAGTAAATTATATATGACATGTTTTCTTACCCTATTCATTTTTCTGCCATGCTACTAAAGATTCTTTCCGAGCATCAAGAGCATCACCGAGTTGTCACAGAGTTCGAACATGCGCTTCATGCAGTTCCGGGCACACGACAAATACGCCCTGCATCTGAGCAAAATGGAAAAGGTCGGTATCATGGGGCCCGGCGCGGTGCATTCGCTGCAGTTGTCATTGGTTAATTTGTCGCTCACTTAATTGCAGCGCGAGAAGGAGCGCGGTTCGCACATCTCCTACATGTTTCGGCTGCCCTTTGCCGCTGGCGCCGTCTTCAGTGCCTCCATGCTGGACACGCTGCTCTACCAGGCCTTTGTCAAGGACTATGTGATTACCTTTGTGCGCCTGCTGCTGGGCATAGATCAGGCGCCGGGCAGTGGTTTTCTCACCTCGGTAGGTGGCATTTGACAGCAACTGTTGACTAGCTTTTTTTATTACTTTCTCTCTGTTGGTCTAACTCCCTGACAGATGCGCATTACCAAGGATGATATGTGGATACGCACATATGGGCGTTTGTATCAAAAACTCTGCTCGACCACCTGCGAAATACCGATTGGTATTTATCGCACACAGGATACCTCAAATGCGGATACTTCACATGTGAGTAACTCGCCGGTCGAAAGATGGGGACCCTTCTCCGCCTTCAGCAGGCATTGCGTGCGCTTGCGTCCATCGGTGAGTCCAAAACAAATGCAGCTAAAAAAAAAATAAATAAAAAAAGAAAAACCGCTTAAAAACAAAAGGTTTACTTTCAACTTTTGGGCCCTCCACATAATAATTTAAAAAAAAAAAGTCTACTTAGCCAATCAATTGGCCGCACAAACTAACAAAAGAGAATTTTGCCTTAAACTTATGTTCATCGCATTTACACCTGATACACACACACACACAGCCTGTCTCTATTTCTCTGTCTGTCTCGAATTCTCTGTCTCTTGCTCACATAAATTTCGATTGGTTTCGATTAATTATCGAAATTCGTTTCAAATTAGAAACATACACAGCCAAAAATTCAAGATATTTATTTACAATAATTTAAGTTAGCCTTGAAAGGATTGCTTTTTTAATCATTTTTTAGCGGTCATAACATTTGTTATTACTTTTGTATTTATTTACTTTAGTTTGTTGTTCATTGTTTTTAAAATCACACGCTTACGCTTCGATACTAACTGCATTCAAGACGAGTCTACGCAAAAAAAAAAAAACACAAAATATATATATAAAAAATAAAAACTTCATTTGCATATTTTACTCAATATATATTAAATACTTATAAGTACTCGTATTTTATATACTCTACTACTCGAAGCTACTTAATATAACAAACTCTCTTTTCTCAATTATTACTTGAACTTGAAGAGCTACAGATTTTACAAAATTTCTTCAATTAACGTAACTTTTACTTGCTTACAAAGATCTAGAGTTTTTTAATCCAAGTACTAATATATGCATAGCCGAAAAAAATACTAAATCCCTTATCCAGAAAAAAACCAAGCATAGCGTGCTGATTTAGTCTAAATTGTATAAGTTACCCAATTAATTTTGTACATATCTTACCAAAAAGGAACGAGACTTTCGTAGTTGATTTTATACTTTTATATTTTATTCAATGGCCAGTCAAAGGTTAAAATTTCCACTCGCTCCCTGCTCCCTCACATTCTTAGCTCATATTTGCCTAATGCCCTCTCGTATATAATAAACACACACATTAGCTAACAATATGATTGATACGCGTTCCCCTCCCGCTTCCCTAAAATTTATTTTGTGTGAGCAAAAAAAAAAAAAGTACCATTAAAAAAAATTACGCATACGACCCATTAACATTTGTCTAAATGTTGAAAAGAAAATAAACTAATTGATTTGCGTTTGTATTGGACTTGACCAGCTATTGAAAAACGCACACGCACGCAGTGAGTCATATTATTTAATAGACTAGTCAAAAAAAAAGAAACTTTTAAGAAACTAACTTACAAAAAATAAACATAAATACCGAAAATTAAAAATAAAATACATTTCTCATGCAACTTCCACTATTGCCTGCCTGCCTCATAAGCCCTTGAATTGCTATGGCCATTCTTGTGTCTGTTGTGATTGTGTGTGTGTGTGCTTATATATATATGTGTGTGTTGGTGTGTGTGTAGCTGTTTAGTATAGTTAGTTAGGTTTCCGCTTGCATGACTCCGTACTTTTATTTATTGTTGTTCTTTTTTGTTTTGTGTTCTTGTTTTTTTTTTTTTAACTTGCATGCAGGCCTTTAATTAGCTGATTGCAATTGCTTGTTGTGCGCCCTGCACCACAGGGCAATAGCTGGCCACAAAAAAAAAAAACAGTATCAATAGGCGTATCACACGCCACAGACAACCACCTGCATTCCCCAACCACCCTTCGAGCTCTGCTGCGTTCTCTTTTTTTTTTAAATATAATATACTCTTGCTTTGAGTACTTAAATTTGTTTGTGCCATGTATAAATATTTGAAATATACAATTTCGTTTTTATGCGTAAAACGTGATCGTTGAAAAACTATCGATGATAATATACCTGTTATCGATAGGCGTAGAAATCAATGTTTGTAGTACAAAATGTTTACTTAATATAGTTGAGCTGTTCTCTCTACTATCTATCTATTTATCGATTATCGCGTTATCGATTTCGTCAGCTTTCGATTAGCATAATCATGCAACACTTTTGTATATATTTAAATCCTTGTTATATAACTCCGTTTGTCTGTATCCTTTTTCGAAATTGATCCCTATTAAACGAGTCAAAGCTGCTCCTTCTACATATTTTAATCACTTTAGTTTTCTAGTTTCCCATCTGTGTGAGGGTATTTAAGCTGTGTGACGTCCTTCATTTATAATTTACAATGTTTTCATTTGCAATGCCTCCCGAACTTTGTTGCTCATTAAAAATACCGTGCCTGATTCAAAAAAATCGATTTAAATTAACTAAGCAAAAACTTCGTTTACAAAATTGCGCTGCATAGCACGAAACTCTACTCCATTAAGTACTTTAGATGCATTTTCAATTACCTTTATAGCTTTTTAGTTGCCATATCAAAATTAACATGCGCTTTGCAAGCACCTTTTGAAATATAGTTTTTCATTTTCTGTGCTTTTTCAATTAATTAATTTTGTTTCATTCAAGATGTGAGCTAAATACAAAACGTAAAATAAAATTAATTTAAAACATGTTTTGGCTTTTAGTTATAAACGTTTTTATCCGGCATGACTTACAACACATTAAATGTTAACCTGGCCAAACAATCAAATAATTACAAAAATATATATACATATATACTTATTTATACAAAAAAGATAACATCGTTAACGTTAAATGAGCATAAAGCCCGAAACAAACAATATACCATCAGCCATGTATAAAATTGAACAATCTGCCATTTCAATCAAAAATCAATTAAATATGTAAATCATTTTGTGTTTAACCAAAATTCACTGAAATTTGCATACAAACCATCCCGACCATCCGATCCAAATGTGCACAGTATGACGAGGAAACCGGCACGCCCGATTCCACCAAGGATAGCACGGAAATGCTGCGCGGTGTTACCTATCGTCCGCCCTCATCTGGTGGTGGCGCCGGTGGGGGTCCAGCTGCTGGTGCTGGTGGTGGTGGTGGTGCTGGTGGCACGGCTAGTTACCGTCCGCGCCAGAAGTCGGTTAACTGCCTGGGTGGCTGTTCGGAGCGTAAAGGATCTTCCGTAAGTATTTCACACACATAAAACAACAAACAACACATAACAATTGTAGGCGTGTTCGCCCACCCATCGAGGTAGGTGGCTTTTGGTTTTTAGGGAAGTTATGTTTAAGTTTTTTGTTGGCTTGAACGCTTTGACGCATGCTGTTGGATATGGATGCCCGAAAATAAGTACATCTAGGTGATCGTTTCATTAGTTGCACACACACCCACACACATAAACAAAGATACATTTGAGTGTAGATAATAGACCTTTAGGCACTTGGGAGTTCATTTTGAACTAACTGTTGATTTCGGACATCGTCTCTTGCAGTACTCCATTAATCTGGCGGACGAGGCACGCGATAATCACGCCCAGCAGATCGAAAGAGCCGAAATTGCCAATCTGGTGCGCAGTCGCATGGAATCCCTGAATCTACCGACCATTGACTATGATGATGTCAGCGAGAAGCGCAACCATCTGTCCTATGTGATAATCAATCCAAGCTGTGATCTTAAGCTGGAGGAGGGCGATCTGATGTGAGTACATGCGGTTTATATATTAGAGTATATCCTTGCAGTCAGCAGATACAGACTTATATATCAGAAAGCAATGTATCTTGAAGGCAGATTATATTCTTGCTAGATATTTCTTATAGATTTGTTTAAGAAGCGAGATCAACCACATACAAAACGTGTCAAAATATAGTTATAGTTATCAAAGAGAAATATTTGTTGTCTCTATGAGTTAGTAAAATATATATATTTTTTTATCAATTTTATATTTTAAGTTTACAAAGCCTTAATATAAAAATAATGTGCTTCCGTTCTGTTTATTCAATTCACAGCTATTTGGTGCGCCCGTCGCCGTTTTCGGCGCAAAAGACATTCGAGCGACATAATTCGCGCCGCAAATCGAACATTTCGTTCTGTTCGAATATCAATTTGGGCGCCACATGCGGCCCACAAATGCCAAATATGCCCAACACCGCCGTCGGAGCTGGTTCGCGTCGCGGCTCCGGCATCGCCGGTTTGAACCCCATGCAAATGCAGAGCGTTCAGACATTGGCCGGGTATGGATCCTCGCAGCGCTGTACGCCCCCGATGCAGCAAATTAAATCGAATTCTCTTTCTCTACCCGACAGTCCGACGGTGGTTGGCTCACAGCGCGGCAGGAGTAATTCATTGCGGGTTGGCTATTATTCTCTATCCCCCCTCTCTGTCTCTCTCTCGCTCTCTCTGTCACCCTCTCTCTATGTAACACTCACTCATTCTCTCCCACTCTCTATGTACCTTTATTACACGATTTCTGCTTTCCCGTTTACGTTCACGTTTATCGACACTTCCCATTTGTGTTCACTACTGTACCAAATCTAAGCCGATAACTGTGCATTTATTTGGCCATCGACAGAGTTGCCATTCACATTGAATGTTTAGCATGCCGGGGGCAACTCTGTAGCTAAATAAATACACAGCTAACAGCAGCAATACAAAATAACATGTTCCTGATTTTTTAATTCCCTTGCAGAAACTTTTGGAGCTAGATAAAATTCAATTTTCTTAACTTAACATATAGTTCAAATGGATATAGTTTTAATCAATTTGTAAATAAGCTTGGGATCAAAAATGTTTCACAATTAAGTTGATGAGCTAATGAAAAAGTAGAAGAATTAGCAATTTGCAAATTCAACTCAAATTTATTTCTACAAACTATTCTTTGTCTTAAAAAGTTTTGTGCTTAGAAAGTGAACTTGGGCGGACTTAACTTTTTCGGGCCATAAATTATAAAGCTAATCAATTTTTCTTGGCGCTATCAGAGGTCAATAATATAAAGAATTTGTATTTGTTTACTTTTATCATATAACTTTAATTTAATTCTATACGTTTATTATAAAGGTGGGATTCTGAAAATTGCCACAACTTAAGGTTTTTCTACAGGGAATTCGTCACAGTATACAAAAAAGTAGTATATCCGACAAGAACAGATTAAATCCTCTTATATTATAGTTCTGCAAGGGTATTATTGGCTTCGGTGCACCGAAATTTCATTTTCTTTGCTGTTCTAATTACCAATTGGCTAACATAACACTTAGACTTGGGCATACTAGTTGCCGCACAGTTGTTGTATGAAGAAGCACATTGTTAAATGCAACAATGCTCACACACTCACACATACACACAGACACAGACACATTCATGTAGAGCATCAAAATTTGGTTGCATTTCCGTTTTTGAGAGAATCGCAAATCCATTTCACGAAATTGACGCGTTTCAAAAGCCGCAGCACTCAACAGCCGCAACAACAGCAACAACAACTACAACCAGACCAACAACAACTATGTTTTCAACAACAACAACAACAACAACAAGAACTATCAACAACAACAACAACTATCTACAACCAGTTCAGCAACCATTCATAAACATAACGCACGCACGCAACGGATAAATCCGCATCACGTTTCCGTTTCCGTTTCCGTTTGCGTTACTCGTGTTGGCTGCACCCACCAAAAATAAATGGATAAAAGAATAATAACAATAGGAATAATATAAAGCAAATAATTAAATCATCAAGAGTGCGGCACGGACTTGAGTTCAATGTGTTCGATATGTGTGTGTGTTTGGCCTTTGGGCCAAAACACGCCTTGTAGCCAATTTGTATTGTGTGTGTTTGTGTTTATTTTGTTTGGGCCAACATTTTGTTCCATTCCGTTTGCTCAACAAATTTGCCCGCTAATCTCGGCCAATTTTGGTTGGAAATTGCCATTTCCCTTTTACTTGCAGATCGATAATGATATACTGCTGCGTCGCTCCTCGTCGCTGCGCCAGGGCTTGCCCAGCGTGGGCGTCAGCCATGGCCGTCGCAAGTCGTCGCTGGAGGAGATCGGCATCAGTCACTTCACAACGCTGATGCAGGCAACGAATCACAGCAATCCCATCAAGATATCGCTCAACGGCAGCATCGGCATGGAGGTAAGCGAAACACAAGCACCTTAACATATCTCTAAAATCTCAACATTCGCACAGAATCAGATCTCGTTGCAGGTGACGCCGCCGGAGGAGCCGACACCCATGTTGGGCGTGCCCTGCGTTTTGGGCGGCGGCGGCGTGGGCGGCATAAATCCCTCAGCGCTCGGGGGCAGCGCTGGCGGCGGCGGCGGCGGCAGCGGTGGCATGCTGGGCGCCAGCTCATCGCTGGCCATAAATACGGCTGATCTGGGACCCGGACCGAGCACCTCGTCGGGCGCCTCGCTGCAGGCGCAGGACTCGCTGCCGCAGTCGTCGCAGGCGCCGTCGCCGCAGCATCTGCAGGGCACGATTGTATGATACAACCTGATGTGGGGTCGTCGACTCCGCTCCTCGATGTCCAAGAACAAATGGATATAGAATACGGCCAGCACACACAGACGTAGAGATAAGTTCTAGTGCTTGTCTACTTATTATCAAGTCAAGCTGCTAACCCAAAACCAAATCCAAAACTATTTATATATGTATAAACGAATAAGAGATGATTGCGTGCCGATATTTCGTGACACGACGGCGCACGGACACGCACGGATATTGTTTTTCAAATGCATGCAATGTAAGTTTTTCTCTTCATTTATTTACACAAATATTTTTTTATTGCCTTCATTGTTATTGACATTATAATTGCAACAACTGATATTATTATCACTACTGCAATTATTATTAAATTAAATATCATATTACTAATATCATTTTTAGTTTCGGTTTCAAGCTAACAGTTTTACGTAAATTTCGATGAGTACTCTGACCTTCTGCTAAAACATCCCAAGAGTCATTGCTATTTTCTAAGTCCTAAACTGCGACTTATTGTCATTTCATTTGTTTTGCATGTTATTCACCATTTTGAAAGAGATTTGAATGGGAAACCCAAACTTCAATAAACCTTTTTCAAGCACCTCATAAGATCCCCCATTAAAAACATATAAACTTAGCTTAACTTTATTTTATGTTTCGGTTCATAGATTTTTATGCAGTTCTCTTAATTACTATTTTTTTTACTATTTTCTATGAGAAAACAAATGAATTTCCGTGTCAAGAATGTATCGTATCACGTGCTCGTCTCTAACTATTATGATCTAAGAACCCAACCCACCCGAGAGCAGCCTGTCAGTGTCTGTGGTGTGTGATTATCTCGCAGCTAATGCGTTATTTCTAGTATAGCCTATAGAGGCGAACCCGCGACCCCCGCCCCCTTTAATTTGCCCGGATATTGGGAGACGGATGTGTTTATCGTTTCGCTTATAGCTTATGAGTAGCAATAAATTATATTCAAAATTCGGTATGCTTTATTCAAATGAGGCAAAATGTGTTTTTGGGAACAACAAAGTAGTTAAACTATATTGGCATGAATGGAGGTATCTACCACTTTAGCTGTAAATAGTATCGTGCGGACATGTGTGTTAGTTGCTATTTAGGTCTAGGCCATAAGTAAGAGGAAAAACCAAAAATCAATTCATTTTAAGCATATTTCTGTCTAATGAAAATTAGTTGCCCCAAAACAAGAGGCTCAAAAATAAAATATAAAAATTTAAAACAGCTTTTTAGTCGAAAGGAAATATTGTATATACGATAATTTTAAGTACTAGATGTAGAAAAGTTTTTCTTGGTTTCTTTCCAAAATAATTCTGCAATATTCATAGACAGTTCGCGCACAGCTACTTCCTTAGGTTTCATACGTTGCACAGTTCTCACTTGGATAGTTTACCCAACATATAAAATTTTACTATAAGAAAGGTGCTATCAATGTTTTGTACCAGACACGTTCGCAAATTTCTTTCACATCTTTTGTAAAACCCAAAAACAAAACGGTTTTCAGAACATAAAAATTCGAAAGAAAGGGCTTTGGTATACTCTAATGCTTTACAATACATAACAAGAAAAAAAGTTTAAAATTGAAACGAAAATAACTATGCTATGTAGAAGTTGTTGTATATATTAGTCTTAAGATGGAACTGCATACAAACTATTAAAACTAAAACGCAAAACAACAGAAATTAGTTATAGATATAATGTCTATGATTATATATACTATTTAGTCGATAAGCACTTAGTTCGGTTTGAGGGCCGTGCTCAAAGCCTAAGCCTATAGCTAATAACGAAACTGTACCAAATTCAATGAGCTATACACATTCAAAGTATCACTCACATATGCATAGATATATTAGATATATATATACATATATAGTATATAGAAGGAGCACCCACTTGCTGTATATATATATATATATATATTTGATCTCCAGTCGGTTGGCACCTCTGAAGACCCAGTCACGTCCCAGCAACGAGGAAATTTATTTATTAGCCTATAGCTAAAGCATACGATGTACCTACTACGACCACACGCACATATACATACAGAAACACATACATACACATATATTCAAGAAACCTAGGATATATACATAACTATATATCTAGAGCACAGACAGTTTTATACTAAGTGAATTTTACTCGGTTCAGTTCGAAATGCTGAACTCAAACATGATATATGCATTCCAGTGTCTCAAGAACCTATGCGACATGCGCGCTTGGATATTACCTAAGCCTAAGCCTAGCACACCCCAAAAACATATAGCATATATATATATTTAGATCTAGGTAATCTTTAGCAGTCACCAAATTAGCAACTAGTAAATGTCTCAATGTACAAAAAGCAAAAATGGCAATGCCTGCAATTAGTTATCAAAGAACCACAAAGAAAAACAACAACAACTAAAAACCAAATGTACTTACTATATTTAACTGATATGAATGCTATGCATAGAGCATATTCAAGTTTAGATCATAAAACTTTGCTGTAATATTTAACTGTGCTCTTTAAGGCACTCGACAAACATGTCATGAAAACTCACAATAAATTCAAAAATATATAGTTGATGAAAACTGAACAAAACCGAAAGAACTTCGGTGTCCTTCGAACTCAAATGTTTAGCTGGCCAATTTGTTATCATATATTCGATAAATGATTTTTGATTTTTTAACAGATTCTTTCAAAAGTTTACTTACTTCTTCGTTTTCTATATTTTATAAATTAATTTGAATATCTTCTAAAAAATACAAGATTCATTTAAAACGTTTTTTTTGCAGATTACTTCATATAAAAATGTTTTTTGTTTTTGTATGTCCGATTAATCCTTGATCTTTCACATAAAATCGAGTTTTTGTCGGAACCCAATTTCCAAATATTACTTGCCATTCCGGAGTCTGTGGGTTCTAAAGGTCAACAGAGAGGTTTTGAAAATATAAATCAAATTAGGTAACTTTCGAAATAAAATTGGATTTATACATTAACTACATTTTCTGGATATATACGTTAACTATATTTTCAATACAACCGAATGCTCTTGTAATTTCTTCTTTTATAGCTATATGTAATAGTCCGATTTGTGCGATTCTGACAGAAAACTAACGTGTCTGCTTAATCTAATTAAACTAAAGCTACGAACAGACAATCCACCAACAAAAAAGACCAACAATTTCTGCCATATGTCTGACCGCCAGATAATGTTAATGAATACGTCTGCCGAATCGTTTCGTTAAATAATTGCAGCACTTGAGCAGATTGAACCAACATACTTCATGTCGGTTAAGGAATATATAGGCTCAACAGACTTTAGCCGCACGGCTGGCATACAAATTTGCATCTATACAGACTTCCATTATATATAATATATATGTTCCTGAAACTCTACCAAATGCCCACATAAGTTCGCCCTAGATTAGTTATATTATACACCTCATTCATATATGTATATATATATATATATATATGTATTTATTAGATTGAGTAGCTTTACAAAAGATGGCACACATTAGTTGGATTTATATTATGAATTATTATGTTTCCGTTTGCTTTGGTTCTGGATTCCTGTTCTTAGTTATATTTCTTTGATATGCGTATACAAAAATAGTATTTCCTTTAATTTTATAGTTTGTTTTTTTTTTTTTTTTGATTTTCAATTAATTTAATTTTAGTCCCAGACTTGGGCTTCATTTGCGTGGCGTTACAATGGCGTAGGGCGTGGCCACGGTGCAGCTGGCGGAGGCACTGGTGCACTTGCAGCTCTTGCCGGAGGGCGCCTTCCGGTTGACCAGGCAGAGGCGTGCATCGGTGCAGCCACCGTTATTGATCTGGCACTGGCTCTGGTACTGCGGGCAGTTCTGCTCGACGGCGGTCATGCCGTACATCTTGTGGCTGCCAAAGAAGGGCGTCTGTATGGGCTTCTGGCGTACGCCGGCGCTGTCCACGCTCTCCAGTTTCTTGCTGGAAAGGAGAGGTATTTAGAAGATGCAGCTTATACTGTGGATGGCACCTACGTTGTCCAGTCGGTCCAGTAGAATTGATCCTGCGTAAAGGTCAGACCGAAGGGATAGGAGAGTTCCTGGGATATGGTGCGTATCTGGCGGCTCTGTGCACTGATGCACTCCACCTTCTTGGTGCCTGCGTCCGCATAGCAGAGCTCTCCGCTGTGCTCGAGCACCACCAGCGAGTTGGGCAGCTTGACGGCATCGGCGCCCAGCAACAGCTCCCGGCCAGTGCCATCCAGATCGGAGTACTCTATCTTTGGGTTTGAGCGATCCCAGTCGGACCAGTAGAGTTTCCTAAAAAGCGCACCAACGTTTTAAAGCACAACCCAACACAAGCCTTCATTTGCTGCACTCACTCTCTGTAGGGATCCACGGCAATGCCACGTGGATTCACCAGCTGCTTGTTTATGATGACAGCGCGTAGCGTGGGATCATCCAGGCTGGCCACCTCAATGGTATCCTTCACCGAGTCCGTCCAGTATAGTCGGCGCGAGATGACATCAATGGCAATGCCCTCAGGTGATTCAATGTCTGCAATGGATTGGATTATCAGAGCTAGCTTAGGAGCTTGTTACCTGTGCTTGTTACCTGTGCTTATGAAAATGCGCTCATCTGTGCCGTCGTATTTGGCGCTGATGATCTTCTTGGCCGAAATGTCGCCCCAGTAGACGCGTCCCTCCACACAGTCCTTGTCCAGGCCAATGGCCATCGAGGCCACTTTGATGGGCTGCACATCGCGTCCATTTAGCGGCACACGCACTATGACCACGCCCTGGCTGACAATCAGGAAGTTCGAGTCATGTTGTTGACGCTCAAAGCAAACGGAGCCATTGCCATAGAAACCTTGGAATGTACAATTAATGATTAAACGGGTAAGTTTCAAACAGTTTTTAACGTTTAAGAAAAAGAATGCGATAAGCTTTTGATATTATTCGAAGCAAAAAATTTGCTATGAAATTTAAAATTTAAAGAAATGGAATTTAGTTAACAAACATTCCATTGCCTTTTTTCAAAAATGCCTGCTTAAACCCATTTTTTGAGACTGTATAAGTTCCTGATCTATATCAACAGTCTTGTCTATATATATAAATATTTCTGTATGTATATTTCTACTACTTAGTTTCTCACTTTTATTTGAATTTCCTAGTATATTGATTTTTGTTTTGTATCATGCTCTAAATAACTACAAAGGGAAAACTAAAAAACGCTTGTCTGCGTATTTAGATACAGTTAATTAAAAGTAATTACTTAACAGAGTAGTTGAAGGTAATTGGAGAATTGCAAATATTTTTAATTTTCAATATTCGTCGCTGTTATTTATGAATTTCTTGAATTTTTGGATTACCAAAGGTAATTCCAAGTAATTACCCCACGAAAACTAGTAATTGCTAAAGTATTTAGATTTCTTCAATTTTAAATAATACTATAATACTATACAGCTTATGAATAGACATAGTTGGCGCTGTTTTTATATTCAAGCCGATAGCCAGGGCGACTACACACAGGCACACATCAGATCCGGTTTCATTTCATCACAAAATTTGTCGTTATTATATTTTTTGGTAGCATAAACTTAAAAACAATTAAAAGCTTAGCAACATGATGAACCCTGTGCAGAGTTTGCTAACAAAGGTCACGCGGCTTGGCATGGTACGGATCATGAATCAACCGGCTTCTCCGATCGTTAAGGCCAACGCGGCCAGGTGGGCGGTGCAGAGCCAGCAGCGTAACTATGTGCAAAGGGTGGATCAGTACCGCAAAAAGACGACCACATTACAGTCGATGCGCGAGTTCTTTATGCATCCGCTGACCTGGGATCGCAACAATGGCTATCTGAACGTGGTGCTGGCCCTGGCAATCTTTAGCTTTGTGTTCATCAACTCGTGCACACCGTGCCCGGAGGATCGTGTGCCGCGACACAAGAAAAACGATAACTGAGAAGGAAACTGCCAAACTCACCTGGATTGCAGACGCAGACCAGACCCGAGTTGGTCGAGTGGCATTTGGCATTCATATCGCAGAGGGTGGGATTGTTAAGGCAATTCTGCTCCTCGATGCAGACATAGCCATCGCCGCGATAGCCAGCGTTGCACTGGCACGTATAGTTCGCAGGATCCCTAAGCAAATGGGTAAATGGGAAATGAAAATGGGCTATAAGAATGGCCAGGAACCTTCAACTCACTCGGTGGGCTCACAGGTAGCGTGAATGCCGCAATTGTTGCGCAGATTACAGGGTATGGGTATGCTGAGACAGCCGGCCAACGCGTCGCCCTGATAGCCATCGATGCAATCACAGAACTGCACGCCCAGCGCCTCATCCCACTTGCAGATGGCATTGGAGCCACAATAGACGCTGCCGCAGCGCCCGGTGGGCACACAGCGGTCGCTCACGTCCCGCTCGTAGGCTTCGTTGCACTGACAGACGCCGCCATCACAATGGGCGTTCTCGCCGCACTGCTCGGCGCCGTCGCACTCGGGCGCCAGTTGGCAGCGATGTCCATCGCCCGTGTAGCCGCGCTCGCAGACGCACTCGGATTTGCCCAGCTGATCGCTGTAGCTGCAGGTGGCATGCGTGTCGCAGATGTCTGGTTTCTGGAAACGAAGCACAGCTTAAATTGGATATACTTTTGGCAGAGACGGATGATATGCCTTACGATTGCGCAGGACTCCTCGATGGGATCGCAGTTGTAGCCGTCGCCGCTGTAGCCTTCGTTGCAGGTGCAAATGTGACGCAGCTGATGCTCCCACCAGGAGCAGCGTGCATTGATATGACAATTGGAGTCCACATCGCAGGGCAACAGATCCTCGCTATTATCCACATCGTAGCCGCCCGCATAGCGGCAAGTGCGACTCTCCTCGCTCAGCTCATAGCCCTCGGGGCAGGTGCAGTCGCCCAGTATATTGCAGCGGGGCTCCACCTCGTGCTCGTCCAGCAATATAGGCACACAGCGTCCATGTTCGAACACCTCATCGTGGCCACAGATATTCACACAGCTATAGCCATCTCCGGAGAAGCCTTCGCGACAGCCGCAACGTCCCTCGTAACAGTCCGCGTCCGGCGAGCAGCTCTGCAAGAAAACAAAATCCAAAAATATACTATTATCGATTCCTAAATTCTCAGCGGGTGAATTGTAGGTTAGATTTTATTTTACAAATATGCAAATTCCTTACGGGCCACACAATGTTCTGAAAAAAAAGGAAACCTGTTTTTTTCTAGAAATAATGTATTGAGGGGAACTAGCATTAAAGGACATGAATTCTCAAAATTCAAGACTCTGCCTAAATAAACGCGAAATAATATAATTGTGTTGTAGAGGTAAATAATTACATAATATCGAACATGTGCAAATATTTTTGAATAATGAAAAACTTGTCCATTGATATTTATTTATAAATTGTATTAAATGAAATAAATTGGGTTTAAGCAGGAATAACCCAAACCTCGAGTCGACTCATATCGTGTATCCATTGAAAATAGGTAGGCAGGATGTCATAGTTTTTCCAAAAATGACGCAAAAGGAGGCATGTCCGAGCACTTCCCTATTTCCGTCTGTCTATATTGTCGGGCTTATATGAAAACAAGGGACTAAGTTAAATTATTGTTGATTATTATGGGGCATAAATAGATCTAAAGGCAGTTGCATAATCATTCTGGAAATAATATCAATTGACAGGGTATTTTGCAGTCGAGCAGAGTTCTAACGAGCTAGGGTAAGATTTACGTGTAAGGTCATCTAACAAATCTTTAAAATAAAATAAAATTAAATTAATTTATAGATCTTCGATCTAGGATATTATCTGACAAAAAGTTTATAATTATAGAAATGCAATCTTGTCACTTACGTAGCACTCATCCAAATGCTGTCCGTTGCCCTGGTTTGGTGGATAGTCGACATGTTCGCCCGACTGCTCGTGGTTGGGCTCCTGTGGTCGAGCCTGCTGCTGCTGTTGATCCTCCTCCGTGGGATAGCCCTGGGAGCTGTCAACTGGTGGCTCCGAGGGAGTGGAGTACTCGATATTGTCGGCCGAATTGTTGCGCAGACAACGATAGCCATTGCCCTCGTAGCCTTCGAGGCAGACACAGCTGAAGCCGCCATCGTTGTTGGAGCAGAGCGCATTCTCATCGCAGACATGGCTGCCCAGGGCGCACTCGTCCAAGTCGATGCAGAGCTCGGCGCCGCGCTCGTCCAGCTGGGCGGCATAACCATGTCGGCAGTCGCAGCGATAGGTATCTTCGTAGGGCACACATACGGCATTGTCGCCGCACTGGACGCTGCCGTCGGTGCAGGCATTGGACTCGGCATCGACGCCAATCTTGCTGACAGCGCTGGTGCGCAGCGCCTGATCCCGCTCAAAGAAATCGAGGGCGATCTTGGAGACCTTTTGCAGGACACTGCGGTCCGTGGGATCGGCATCGTCGTCGCGCAGGCAGCTCTGATAGACAATCCGCTGATCCACCTGGAAGCCAATCACGCGCTGTTCCTCGACCAGCTCCAGCTGATGGGACTGCAGCGACTGCAGCTCGCCGGGTCGCACAAAGCGATACTCCTCCGTATAGTCCGGCAGATGCAGCGTGGCGCTAGGCGATACGCGCGGCACCGCGCCCGACAGCTCGATCTTGACGGATAGCTGATCCCAGTAGTTCAATCCCTCGAAAGTCTGGTTGATTAGCAGCAGCTCGCCCGTCTCGTACTGGATGCGCGAGATGTGCTCATACCTGCCTCCTGTTAGCTCATAGCCATTGGCCGCCCCGTTG